GTTCATCTTTGCAAATAAAGCAACATCTAACCAAAATAACATTATAAAGAAAAGGAACAAGAGGAACTAAAATTCACCATCAACTTAGAACTTTTTGCCTACATTGGGTAACTATTTCAGTTAATTTGACAAATAGAACAGGTATATGTCACAATCACGATGAGGATGTGCACCATCTGTTACTACATTTCCGGCTATCAAGAGAGTTTTGGTCCTTGGTATATTCCCCATTTAGTATGACGGGTACCTCCTATAATAGTGGTGGAAGTGATGGTGAGATGAGGGCAAGAAAGATGGATTTCAAAAAGAATGAGATATGGAATACAGCTCCTTATTGCATATTTTGGATGATTTTGAGAGAAAGAAGATAAGAGCTTTTGAAGGAATTGAAATTCACTATGGAAAATTAGAAGTTATCCTTTATATGTATTTTGGTGTAAAAAGAATACAATGTTTTGTATAAATTGCTCTTTTGGAGGGCTTAATTTCTATCCTTTTGTATCTTTTGTAAAGTTGACACCGTCTTGATATCAATAAAAGACCTTTTTGCGTAGTAACAAAAACAAATTTTGACAAACAGAGAGGCAATGAGGTCAAACCGGGCGAAGTGGATAGCCCAAGACATTTAGGGTAACTCTTCCAGCAATTCCAGCCTTGTCTCTAGGATGGTGAAACTTGCATGTCGCTCCAAACTTGCAAGTTCCAGTCTTCAAGTAGTACTGGAAAATAGTTCAATAATTCAAATTGTGAGTGAAATAGGTTAGAGGAGATTAATGGAAAGAATGGAAAGTCATAAGAAACCAATTACCACACAAAATAGGAACATCAACAGCTATAAAATAGACACCCAATTTAAGACAAGTTGATACAATTAATTTAATAATTCGTTCACCTCGATAAAACTACAGATACTAAGATGTTCATATTTAAAGATAGTGAAGCAGATAAGAAGTAAAAAAAACAATTTAGAAGGTGAAAAAAGGTCAAATAAAACAGTCAGATCTTCATTATGAATCTTCTAACAGTGGGTTTATCAACATATCCAAGAAGGTGAAAACCTTCAAAGTCTAAACAAGCACCACATAGTACGGCCATATTTTCAATAAAGAAACCAGCAGGTGTGAGTATTTTACAATACTTGAGCCAAAGACATAAAAATAACAGCTCAGATCTAATGAAAGAACTCAAAATTCTTGAAAATTGTTGCATAATGAACGTAGACATATTCTGTTACTTAATGAATGTAGACATACTCTTATGTAATGTACATAGCAGAATTATAGGGATTCACAACAAATCTATAGGATTTCCTTTTTGATTCTTTCTATAGTTAGGGCTCTATGTACTTGTATATATACTTGTTACCTCTCGACATAATATACATTGAAATTGCTCAATCCTCTATGTATTTTACATGGTATCAGAGCGAGTTCTCTAGCTTTACCGGAGTTAGATAGAGAATTTACAAGAACTGTTAGTTAGGGTCAGAATATTTTTGAAGGGTTTGGAACTAGAAGTTTAACCATCACCACCAACCTAGCAAGGACCGCCTACCCCAAATCTACATAACCCCAGAATCTGGTGGTCGGAGTAGGCACGAGTGGATCTCACGCGCCGACAAAGCATTTCCGACGCAGTTTATAGAAGTAGCGTGTGGAGGCGTGTGGGTTATCGGAATCAAGTGCAGCTTGGTTCTCCGGCATCGACTTGACATTTTCGTCCGGCTTATGGTGTTTGTTTGTACAGCAAACCCCGGTCAGGAAAATCTCTGACCATCCCAGGTTCGGTTCATAGTGTCGAGGTTTCGTCACCTTTTCTCTGTTGTGTTCAAATTTTATTTCCTTCTGTGATTGCTCGATCCTTAGTAGTGAACCAACTTTGTGTGAAACTTTGGCCCTTTTTTTTTAGCTTTAAGATTAATCTGTTGGTTAGTGATTCTTGGTTACTGGTTCTTACCACTATTGGCCGGACTTTTGATTGGTTATTGCCCATTGGATTGGCTCTATTGGAGTTCTGTTTCTTTGTTTCATTGGGTGTCTTTCGTTTGTTGTTTCGTTGGATAATGTTATTCTGGTGGAGAGCTTTTGAGCTTTATTGGCTTTTCTGACATTTATATTGATACTTTAGGGATTTTTTGGAAAGATGACCATAAATAGTAAGCAGGAAGGAAATAATACTACAGCTCTTAGCCCAACAATTTTGGTTTCGGATGAGTTTCTAAAATTTCTTCAATATCAAAATTCAATTAAGGAATCTCCTTCAGTTACTGTTTTTGCTAGATCAGATAAAACATGTCTTATCACCTCTTCAAATAAATAAATGATTGATTCAGGTACAACAAATCACATGACAGGTAATCCAAATATTTTTTCTAGCTTTCGGTCACACAAAGCACCCTCTCCAGTTACTGTAGCTGATGGATCAACTTGTAATAGTGTTGGATCTGGAACTGTTAAACAACTTCCTCTATTACCTTGTCATCTGTATTAAGTCTATCAAACTTGGCCTTTAATTTGATTTCTGTTAGTAAAATCACCAGAGACCTTAATTGTTGTGTCGCGTTCTTTCCAGATCATTGTTTGTTTCTGGATTTTGCAACGAAACAGGTTATTGGTAAAGGATATCTATCTGGTGATCTCTACATTCTTGATGAATGGGAGCCACGGTCTGTTGCATGTTCCAGTGTCGTGTCTCCTTTTGAAGCACATTATCGATTGGGACATCCCTCTCTACCTCTGTTGAAGAAGCTTTGTCCTCAGTTTCAGAATATTTCTTCATTAGATTGTGAGTCATGTCGATTTGCAAAACACCATCGCATCTCATTAGGTCCAAGGGTAAATAAGCGAATTGAATCAGCTTTTGAGCTAGTTCATTCTGATGTTTGGGGATCATGTCCTATTGTTTCCAAAATTGGGCACAAGTATTTTGTCACTTTTGTAGATTTTTCTCGAATGACTTGGATTTATTTTATGAAGAGTCGTTCTGAAGTATTTAATCATTTTTCTGCCTTCTGTGCTGAAGTCAAAACTCAATTCAATGCTTCGGTGCGTATTCTAAAAAGTGATAATGCTAAGAATACATATCAGAGCTATTTCAGTCCTACATGAGACAACATGGTATATTACATCAGTCTTCATGTACACCCTCTCAAAATGGAGTTGCTGAGAGGAAGAATAGGCATCTACTTGAGACAGCTCGGGCACTTTTGTTCCAAATGAAGGTTCCTAAACAATTCTGGGTTGATGAGGTCTCTACGGCTTGTTTTCTGATTAAACACATGCCATCTACCGTGCATGGTGGTAATGTACCTTATAGTATTCTTTTCCCAAATAAATCATTATTTCTGGTGGAACCTAAAGTATTTGGATGCACATGTTATGTTCGAGATGTTCGACCATCTGTTACCAAGTTGGATCCCAAGGCATTGAAGTTCTTGGGCTATTCTCGCCTTCAGAAGGGGTTTCGATGTTATTCTACTGAACTTGGCAAATATTTGGTGTCAACTATCTTCAGAAACTACACCATTTTTCTATGCACCTCCGATTTCTACTAATCAGGGGGAGGAAGACGAGTGGCTACTATATCAGGTTACCCGTGCTTTAATAGAACAACCGGACGATGTTCCTCCCGCTCATAGTTCTTCTACTGAACACCAATCAACTAGTGTACCTTTAACACCTGCTCCAACTGTGTTAGCAAGACCGCCAATTGTTCAAGTTTACTCGCGGAGGCGAGAGACAAATGAGACATGTCCTGCAACAGTACCTTCGTCATCAGATCCTCATCCGCATAGTCCTCCAGAAGACCTTGACCTTATTGCTCTTCGCAAAGGTATACGTACTTGCAAATCCACATATTCCATTGCTAATTTTGTTTTCTATGACCGCTTATCCTCTGCGTCTAGATTTATGATTGCTTCTCTAGACTCCATCTCGGTACCCAAAACAATGAAGAAGGCTTAGAATCATCCTGGGTGGTCTGATGCAATGCTTGAGGAAATACATGCCTCAGAGGAGAACCAGGCATGGGATTTGGTGGATTTACCCAAAGGAAAGAAACATGTGGGATGTAAGTGGGTCTTCACAGTTAAAGTTAATCCAGATGGTTCTGTGGCAAGACTTAAGGCTAGACTTGTGGCTAAAGGGTATGCTCAAACTTATGGGGTGGATTATTCTGACACCTTCTCCCCGGTTGCCAAACTCACTTCTGACTGCTTATTTATTTCTCTGGTTGCTTCTGAAAATTGGCCTTTACATCAGTTAGATATAAAGAATGCGTTCCTTCATGGTAACCTTCAGGAAGAAGTGTATATGGAGTAACCACCCGATTTTGCTGCTCGGGGGGAGTATGGGAAAATCTGTCATTTGAAAAAGTCCTTGTGTGGCTTGAAGCACAGTCCTCGAGCTTGGTTTGGCAAGTTCAGTGAAGTAGAAGGGAATTCTTTTGTCTTAGAGAAAGTATATTCTTGACTTGCTTGCAGACTGGAAAGTTGGCAGCTAAACCCTGCAACACTTCAATGGTTCCTGGTGTACATCTTATGAAAGATGATGGCTAGCCTTTTAATGATCCAGAGAGATACATGAGGTTAGTCAGAAAATTAAACTACCTCACTGTGACTCGTCCAGTTATTGCTTTTGTGGCAAGTGTTGTTAGCCGGTTCATGTCTGCACCAACGGTCAAACATTGGGTAGCTTTGAAACAGATTTTATGTTACTTGAAAGGAGCTCCTGGACTAGGCATATTATATAGCAATCACGGCCATACTGATATCGAGTGTTTTGCAGATGCTGACTGAGCTGGATTCAAAATTGATAGAAGATCAACTACAGGGTATTGTATCTTTGTTGGAGGAAACCTGGTATCGTGGAGGAGTAAGAAGCAAAGTGTTGTATCTCGATCCAGTGCAGAATCTGAGTACAGAGCTATGTCACAGTCTACGTGTGAAATTATGTGGATACATCATCTTTTGACTAAAATTGGGTTGGAGCATCCAATACCAGCAAAACTCTGGTGTGACAATCAAGGTGCCCTCCATATTGCGTCAAATCCGGTATATCATAAAAGAACTAAGCATATTGAGGTTGACTGCCATTTTATTCGTGAAAAGATTCAGGAGAACTTGACTGGCTACGTGAAGACAGGAGAGCAACCAGCCGATTTGTTCACAAAAGCGTTGAATCGAATTCGAGTTGATTATCTTCGTAACAAGCTGGGCATAATCGATATCTATGCTCCAGCTTAAGGGTGAGTGTTGCATAATGAACGTTGACATATTCTGTTACTTAATAAATGTAGACATACTCTTATGTAATGTACATAGCAGAATTATAGGGATTCACAACAAATCTATAGGATTTCCTTTTTGATTCTTTCTATAGTTAGGGCTCTATGTAATTGTATATATACTTGTTACCCCTTGACATAATATATATTGAAATTGCTCAATCCTCTATGTATTTTACAAATTAAAGGACAATATAATCAAATCTCGTATCACATGCCTCAACCAGTGTATTACAAAAGAAATAAGCGCTTTCAAAGATGTTAGGTACTTTCCAGAGATATTAACCTTTTTTTATAAGGATTTTCCAGAGATATTATTTAAACCACAAATTTGCCAAATATTCTGACTAGAATCAAGATTCAATTATCAACCTCCACAAGAACAACGGGAAGAACCAAATAAGGCAGTAGATCAAACCATAATGGAACAGGCACCCTAAATGTTAAATGGGGACAGCAATTAGCATCAAATCATACATGTTTATTTAAGTATTCTCATCCATAATATAGATATGTTTATTGAAGTACTTCCATTCATAAGGATCAATTTTTTTAATGATGAGCCATAAGGGTCAATATTGTTACACTTCTGTTAATTACTTTTTGCACTTTCCTCTACAACAAGCAGATGTAAGACCTATGGACCTGGCAACCGTACCTGGCATTCTAGTTGTCCTATTCTTTCTGGATATTCTCCGTTCATACTTGCTGCGGCAAGGGCCTACATCAAATACTTCTCCACATCCATAAGTACACAATGTGAACAAAAGGATATATACAATTCCATAATCATTAATATTACAATTCCATAATCATTAATATTAAGGATCCGTGTAAAGTCAAAGTTTAAAGACACAAGTTAAAATTATTGTAGTGAGATGATGCTCGCATTTGTACATTTAATATTGGAAAGAAAAATATGATTCCGACTTGATATCACATACCGCATCACATACAGAGAAACTTTCTTTATAACAGAAAATATGTCATGATTAGCAAGTCCAAGGTACAAATCATATGGTGTAGATTTTGCACTAGCCTAACTTGTAACATCTGTCCCTCCAGCTGCTCTCTCTTCTTTTCTAATATAATAAGAGTTCTCCATTAACCAAAAGAATTATACTAGGATCTTCGCTCCTCAATCCATTATTCAGATAACTCGAGTTTTGAAAATACAGAAACAACTTAACAACTGAAATTTAAATGGGAAATTTTGACCTTCAAAAGCTTTCCATACAGACCAACAAGGGAAAGAAAAAGAATCCTCTATAACATGTCCCTTTACATGCCTTTCTGTAAAAAACATATAGGCTTACAAACAGCATCACCATGTCATGAACCATTGGAGAAGGAGAGACTCATAGCAGAACTTCTCCTATGTAGTTTTCTAGAGCTGCAATCTTGGGAGATTCTTCAATGAGTTCTTTGAATTTAAAAAAAATAGGCTGACCAGTTCACAGTGACTTTATGCTGACCCCTGGCCCCAAATCTTTTCATGGGTCTTCCCTTCATCTCAATAATGGAACTCTGAGTAGTGGACAGAGTCAACCAAAGAGAAAGGAAAAGATAGAGAAAGAGCCAAAGGAGGTGGGAAGTGTACAAAGATTAAGAGAGGCTGAAAGGTGACAAGGGGCCGCCAAGCGATTTCCTCATATGACGTTTAACTAACAAGAGTACTAAGAGAGTATGTATCTAGATTCACACAAGTACAAAATCATTGAACTCGAGTAAAGAGAATATTATAAAATATTCCATAGAATATGTTAAGATATTATGTATTTTATTAGAGAATATTTACCTACCTTATTAATATTAGGCACACGAAATGATTACCTACCATATAATAAGTAGGTTAAAACTCTTACGTGAGAAGCTCTCTTATATATGTTAATTGAAAATTAGAAGTTTTCATTTCTTTCTTTCACATCGTAACATAGCCTCAACAATCTTAAGTAAATTCTCAAGTAACTTCCACCTACGAGTGGGCGCCCTTACGATGATTGCCCAAGCAATATTATTCTTCTTTCCTCTTCTTCTTCCGACCAGCACCGCTCCTCTCTCCGGCAACTGACATCCTTCTCTCTCCAGTGACCATCCCGGTGCCACTTATCTCTTTACAACTAGCCCCATCCTCTCTATGATGACTTCATCCCTCCTCTATATGGTGCTCAGAATCTTCCTCTAAATCTTGAATCTCTTGTCATTGTTCAGCCAACTTTAAGCTATGTTGATCGTGTCCTAGAGATTTGCAACACCATACCTTCTTCCCATGGCTCAGACTTTATTCCTTCCTTCCTGTGCAGTTACTAGAGACTTCTAGGAGGAAAGAATTCCAGCACCACTACTTTAAGAGATTTCAACAGCGTATATGTTCCGAAAATAGGCAGACTCTAGTAGTTTCCCACTTTAAGTTTGAGAGGGTGTGTTGAATATTAAGAATACACAGTTATCACACATATCTAGATTCATTAAATTTTGAGCAAGAAATATATTATGAAATATTCTATAAAAATATGTTAGGATATTATGTACTCCCTCCGTTAAAACTTTATGTGAAGGTGTTTGACTGTACACGAAGTATAAGAAATTAATAAAGACATTTGACATGTAAGCCAAATATATACAAAGTACCAAAGTGATTGAGATCTCCACATGTCTTTTCATGTTCCCTCTTCTTAAAAAAGAATGAACTTTTAAATTAAGAGGATCCCAACAAGTCATGTCACTAAGCATAAAATGGGGATGCTAAGATTTTTTTGATAAGGTAATAAAATTTAATTAATGAAAGGTGAACAAGCACCCTAGTACAAGTACACCAAAAAGTAGAAAATGTTATAAAAATATGTGATTTTCTTTCAACAACACCCAATCTTCTTTACAAATAGGAACCTCATGGGTGCACCAACAAGAAATTAGAGGAAAGAGATTATTCCTCAGGTGTACAAAGTCCTTCTCTACCCCATCAAAAGCTCACATATTTATCTCTTTCCATATGGTCTACATAAGTACTAGTGGAGCAACGTGCCAAGCCCTGTGTCTTCTCTTTCGTCTTCTACAGTTCCAACAGAACAAATCTTCTTTAACACAACCTGGCATCACCCATTCAAATCCAAACCATCTGAATATTTCCCCCTTCAAATGGAACGCTATCGAACAATGTAATAGGAGGTGATTCATGTCATCACCCAAGCTTTTGCACATGAAGCACTGACTGAGACATTAATCTTCCTCTTTCTCAAGTTCTCGGCTGTCAATATCACCCTCTCGCAGCTAGCCAAGTGAAGCAGCACACCTTTCTCGTACCCTAGGAATCCAAACGGAGAGATATAGAAAAACTGACTCCTCCCTAACCAAAAGTTTCTCATAATAGGACTTAAGCAGTAAACGCCCCATTATGTACCATCCCTCACCTCCATGTATCATGTCCAACCTGAGTAATTCTTTGATACTGGAGCAACTCGACCAAATTTAGAAATTCTACAACCTCTCAATCTTGCAAGTTCCACCTAAACCTCAAGTCCCCGTGAACTTCTCCACCTTGTAACCTTTGTATTTGTTGGACTGGCATCTCCTTTTGGCATGAATTTGTGAACATGTTTAGAAAGATAGCACTCAAAAGTGTTGTTCCTGCACCACATGCGTCCCCAAAAACTTACTGTACTCTCATCACCCGCCCTAAAAGGTACATTCCCATTAAACTCTTCCCACTCTTTCAAAATATTCCTCGATAGCCCACACCCGTAAAGGGGTGTGATATCTTTTGTCCTCCACCCCCCCCCCCCCCCCC